CTCCCTCGCTCGCTCGCGGGCCAAATCGTGGACTTGGGAGGCAGCCTCTCCCTACGCAACGCAATTTCTGTGTCGGGCAACTAAACCATCNCGCATTGGCTCTCACATTACTTTATGGTTCTTTTGGCTTGTGATAACGATTGGTTTGGCTCAAATGCAAAGTATTTACAGTGCCTTGTGGGGATCGTAACTACCTACGGTGATGTCAGCCCAATGTTGGGTGGTTGCTGATTGGCGCACAAGTTGTGTCATGACGCGAACGGCGTGGGCAGTTGGCATTGATTGGGACTGCGGGCGTCCACGACGCTACGCAAACTCCTATGTGGTTTCGTTTCGTCTTTTTTCCTGGTTTAATCATTCATGTCTTCTACTTCTGCTATCATCTGTATCGCCGTAGTCATTGAAACAGTCTTGCTTTAAGTATTTTCATCAAAGCAGCTTTCTATTTTAGATTCGCTATGTCTTCGATCAATATGTCTCTTGAGGAAATAATCGGCAAGAATAAGGTGGGTTTGTGGTGATGTTTACCAACAACCGTCCTTTTTTGCCTCTTGTCATCGTTTCTTTTTAAAGAAATCCAAATCGGGAAGGCTGATTGGCGGTTTTCGTAGTGATGGTGTAAGCAAACCTGCTACACTGAAAAGTGGTGGAGCGAGGAGCTTTGGGAGGTTCTCAGACGTAAGTTACAAAATTTGTACATTATCATCTGAATAACGTTGCTATTACAAAACCCTTACTTCATGGTGAAGTCAAGTCATACGTGACATCTCAATAAGTATTCGGTTTCTATCCGATAATGTGCTTATCTGAGAAGCTTAGGGTGAGCAGTAGGCATGGATACCGTGGCAGCATTAGGATAGGTCTGACATCGCAAAGCTGGACTTTACTTCTTTTGGTTTTTTCCCTTTACGCTATATTAAACTCAGAGAGCAGCTGTTCTTCTGTTTTGGAATGAGTGCAGTTTGCATCACATACAGAACAAAACCAAGTTGAAGCTAGATCAATTGAAGTGATTGACCTACTATAAGAAGTGTTTTACCTTACCCCTTGCGTAGGCGACGTTGTAGTGTATTTGGAAACGATGAAAATGCAGTTGGGGGTGCCAGCGCCCGTTTTTGCTCTGCGTTTCTGACCCCAGTCGGCAGAGTGCATAGAGACTTCGCTGGAGTGCAGAGATGGTTTCCTCTCCTTCTCAAATTAGAGAAGGAGCTCCAGAGTGAGTTAGCCATTTGGATGTTCAATTCATACTCCATCCTCACCCAACCCGGAGCTGCTCCCCTAAATTTTAGAAGGGGAGGAAACCATCTCTGCGCTCGAGCGCGGTCGTAAGTTTTAAGCATTCTAGTAAAGAAACAAATTGGCTGGAGGTCGAGGGCATTCACCAACTGAGTTATCGGTTTTAAGAGCAGTTGTTAGTAGTGACGAGAAGCGTGTTTCTTTGTGCCATGCCCACTACCCAAGATGATTTACTCCTTTTGAAAGCAAACGCACTTGACCAGATCGACCCTCTTTTCCAAGGTTGGCAACGTGTTCCTTTTCCTTGAGTGGAAAATGATCACATGGTAGGTGATTGGGATATTGACCAGTTCTGGCTTTATGAAACGTAGCGAAAACTTTAACCTCGCTCAGGTAAAGTGTGGCCATGAATTGCGCTTAAGAGCTTTTAACCGAAGCCCTTGAATAAGACTTCCTCATTTCTGTTCCAAGCTATAGCCTAATCTATAACTGACCTATTAAGCATTTAACAATCTCTCTTACAACCTAAATCTTAATTTTGATCGGTTACCATAGGTTAGTAGATAGACGAACTAATAATTCTTAATTTCAGCGGACTCCTGCAGGAAAGTGGAAGCACGACAAGTTCCAAGACGAAACCCGTGCTTTTCGAGCGAGAGGAGGAGCGATTGCAAAAGTGATCGCTGGGTCGAGTAATCCCAACAAGAAAGTGCGCGTCAACCTGTCCAACCTAGGACCAAATGTCGTCTCTGCTGATCTTGAGGTGCCTCCATCGTTTCTTCGACGACCATCCGCGCCGCTCCACGTGGACTAGCGAAACTTGGGCTAAGTCGTCCGTCACGGTTTTTGGATATCAGTGCCTTGGTGGTGGAGAATTTCGATTCTCACGCATTTCTGTGGCAGAGTGACGACTTCTCTAATCCGCAGTGATGGTAAACGCTGATGGGCATCGAAGGAAATTCAGTTGGACCGTAAGTACCTTATGTTCACAATGCAGAATATTTTAGGAACTTTTTGGTCCCTACAATATTGATACTGCAACGGTGCACTTCAACGAGCAGGGCATTTCCCTTGGTACTGGCGACGTATACTTGAAGAGGAAGGATGCTCTACAAATGTTCGAAGATTTCAAGGGTGTTTCTCTTGATGGTATGTTGAGTATTGGTTTGCTGCTAGATTTTTCTACTCTAGATCATCAGATGAACAACACTTTCCAGAATTTGGAAACGCTAAGTTGTTGTTCATCATTAGGAGTGGCGTAGAGTAGTGTCTCTCACTGCTTATATGGCTGAAAGGGTGAAGATTACCATGAAATTCGGTTGAAGGGAGATGATAATCCTTCTTTGCTTGCTCATTAGTTTTCGTTCTCAACCAAATTCAGCTACTCCCATGAAATATGAGTATTTTTTCGCAAAATTTCCTTATTCTAGGCAAATTGATAAAGATGTTAATCGTCGATGGTGGAGAGGGAGTGGCTAACGGTATTGAGAGTCGCCTGAGTAAACTGCCTCGCCAGCCCACCCGTGGAATTCAGAAGAGCTTTCGGTGAGTGCCTCCATAGACTGGTATTATGAAATGTTCTATGCTTTCCTGTTAAGAAGATCAAGTGGAGGCGTCTCTTCATCCTTCCTTGATCGCATTGTGGATGACAAACCCCGGCGAGGAGGTATGCGCAATCGGAGGCCCCCCGGTCGAGAAAGGAAAGCAGTTAAATCTGTTGCTGAGTTGGATGCAGAGTTGGAATCGTACATGAACAAAGGGCGGCCACTAGACGTTTGAAATCGTTTTTTGTCAGCCATATTTTCTTTTAATCTCATTTATTTCGTTCTTTGCCTATTGATTTTGGTGAATTCAATGTCATGTAATCATACAATATGTTTGTCCTAATGCTCCATTGTTACTTGAAGTTGTCGTTCCTTTTAATTGCTACGCTGTTGTTCGCCACCATTATACCAATGTTCTCCCAATAAATCGGAGTCAATGACTTTATGTTCAGATATTTAGCGAGATGGCAATGATAACAGTATGTACAATGTTGAATAAAAGGAATGCCAAAAGCAGTCTAGTCCTCAGGAGGAGCAGGCATTCGAACCATTCCAGGAAGCTGACGTGGTCTGTCTGAAAGAAATATACATCTTTTGGATACCTACGGGAAAGCTGGCTAATTGAATTTTTTAAAGAGGGCCTAACACGAGTCACCAGATTTTCCCATACGATGGTCATTGGTGGGTGCATCGGCGGCTACATGCCTTATTCTCGAGTCCTTTTTCAAGTGAACATAACGAGCTACCTTATTTTTAGTGCGATCGAAAACTTGAGCTCTATATAGGAAGGATGCAAGCGAGGCTCCGATCTATATGAGCCACGCTTCTACAGCTGAAAAGGAGTAATTCATGACTCTGGTAACTAACGAGTACCTGTATTCCGTTGAAATGGATTGGGTTCTTCAGTCGTTTGCATGCTCCACTCAGTTTCTCTGGACTCCGGGAGAAGAGTTGCAAATTGCTCCTCCAGTGGCTCTGTAGAAACACGACTTGATCTCCTTGAATCACCGTCTACCGGTTTCACAGTCTCTTCCGTCTCCCATGGGCGTGGGAGGAAACCATCTGGAAGTAGAGATACTCACATAGGGTATAACAGCCCAGTTAATTTCACTCCTCAAGGGGGTCGAAGGGCGTTTGAATCGAGCTTCATTGGTCGCATTCCGTTTTGTTTTAATATTTTGACCTGACTAAAAATGTGAAGGAAACGAAATTAAATTTTCTGTTCAGGTGTTCTTTGGATGGAAGTTTCTTTTGAATGGGCGATTCTGATACTTGTAAACAGTACATTTTTTTGCTCTGATATAGTATGCGGTCCGAGAATGAATACGAATGTAGGCTTTTTCTAGTGGATCACAGCGACTTCTCTTCTGTTTGCTAGTGAAGTCACTATCTATCACAATCATCTATCATCTTAGACCAGTTAGGACGTACGAAGTGGCGCTGTTCCCACTTAAACTTTCAGAGATCCTAATATTCCCATGGACCCAAATTCCTATAATTCCCAAAACCAGCTTCTTATTTCATCGGTTTTGAATATTGAAACAACATTCATTAGGGATTGGTCAAAGCTGAAGTCGATCAATCTTGGGATTTCTTCTTCACCAGTGACTCACAGGCTAATTACGCAGTGATCCACATACAGTACCGTTCAAAAAGAAATCACCTCGAACCTCTTTTGCCATAACTCATCTCGAACTCAATGTTTTTGACTGATTTTTTGATATGTTGTCAACAGTGATGATATTTAATGTCTCCATCCTAGAATTCACAAAACTCCTTTTTATTTCGTTTAAGAGGCCACTTTTCAATTTTTTTTCTAAACATGACAAAATTACATCACTTTCAATAATTTGAAATAAATCACTTGACTTGAACGCTACCACTATAAGATTAAAACCTAATTAACTACTAGTCTAATACTTTGTAGTGAAGCTGTTGGCAACGACGACGGCTAGGCATCTGCGGGGCATTGATTCGAACAACTTGTCGATCGGGCACTCATCGATTTCCTTCCATTCTTCTTCTAATAAGCCAAACTTCTGAGCAGCATTTGTGACCGATTCATCGGCTATCCTTTTCTTGAGTTCTTACCACGAGGGTCCACTGATGTTTAGGTCAAGGGATTGGCTGGGTGAGTCAAGGCATCGAATTTCCCGATGAGTCAACCACTCGCGCGC